TGTCTTCATTGATTCTTACAAGCTAGGTGTCTCAGCAGCTACATTAGGGTTTGAGTAAACCTCTTAGTGCCCCATTGTCTAGGAAGGAGGGTGAAGGGTAGTGTGTGACAGCTTAATACCTAATGATTTACACCAATCTTGGAAAAGCATGCGTCCAAAATAGGGTTCCTGCTTTAAATCTATATTCTGTGGAAAGAAGTGTATTCACACCACCTGGGTGGCAGTTTGATCACTGATTGGTACTGCCACCTCAAAACTGGTAATGTGGCCCACATAATTCCATCATCTGACATGTTGAGTGTAAGAAAGTCAGTAGTCAGTGCTTTCAGTGGGGTACATTTTTGCCAAGGCAGAAGTGAAATCCACACCTCAGTGCCCTTCAACACTGAACAGACTGCACAGTGTCAATAGACTTGTTCAACCAACTAGAAGAGACCAACACATGGCTCATTTACTGGACCAGGTGAATGTTTTGTGGACACCCCAGTTTCTTGCTTCTACATGGACTCTTTCTGCCACAGACCTTGATAGTACAACCTGCCAGATCTTGGATGAATCAAGGAAAAACATGATTTTGTGGTAAAGTATACATCCCTTGGGATGAGAACCATTCACTCAGCAGTTTCCTGGTTTCTGGTGATAGTTTCAACCTTTCTCTGCAACTGGGCCACCACTGTAACTGTATCATCTCCATCATGATGCAACCATTGGATCATCTCTCTGTTCCTCTGCCTTTTTACACTCTTTCAGTACATGGATGAAGTCTAGTCCTAGGCCTTCCTGCAGTCAAGTCAGGGTTTTCTATCTCTTCAGATTCTTCATCCACATCTTCAGTTTTGGGATAAGGAGTCATTCCACTTTACTGCCCCACTGTTTGCTTCTTGGCAGTGGGGCATTCTAGTTTAGTACCTTTCACTATGTTTGGGGCGGTCTTCCTGGAAGTGTCCCAACTCGACAGCCACTGCACTGGTATGATGACCTTGCCATTAGGGGAAATCCCTTCCTTCCTTTTGGAAGGGTACTTCTGTCTAGAGGGGAATACTCTGTCTGGAGCTGAGTCACCCTTTCTGTCAATTTCCGGATGGCCACCTCCCATTGAACTCTCTGTTTGATATTAAGTCTGCCCAGATCACCTCTGCGAACTACACAACACATCCTATGTTATGGAGATAAGGGGAGAAGGAGGTATGCTGTAATCCAAATCAGAAATGACCAGTTTAGTGGGTTAGGGTGAGAACACTTCTCTGCTACTCATACAATACTTGAGCGTGAGCATTGTCACCTTGGGACAGCAAGCATGTTGACAGCTCTGAGGAAGGGGGTTCGTCTCCCGAAACGTGTCAGCTTATCCCCAATTGGGGCTCAGCATTGCATTGACTACCATTGCGGACCATTCACATTGCTTTTATTATCCTTTTGGTTTGTGAGTATACATCTATTTGATTACACAATAAACATGGTGTATACCACGGTAATGCACGATGAGAGTGCGCCCTTTTTTGTTCTTTGTTCATTAGCATCCAGATTTCTCGATCTTTGAAGGGCAGCCATTTTGAATTCCTTTAGTCTGCATGAAGATTTGAGCGCTGGTTTCGTTTGTTTGTCTAACTGGGCAGATGTTTTATAGTCCAGGATAAAGTACCTGATATAAGAAAGAGAACCTCTAACAAGTTACAATAAAGTGACTTTAGAAATAGTGGTAGGGAATTATGAATCTGTGTTGCACTGTGTTGAGCCTGTAGTGGAATTTTTTTTGTCATGAAACAAAGCCAACAAAAACATTTATATAATATAAAGCACAAATAAAATGAGAAAAGGAAGTAGAATGATCAGTGGAACATGGACACAAGTTTAGGATCACAGCAGTCATTTTTACCTATCAGTTATCATGTAGCGGAGGTCTACCTGAAATGATACTACAAACACAAATAGCGCTGACACAGAGGATATGTAGACAGAGAGTGATCAGGACTTTTTGATGACAGAAACATTGTTGGAGGTTAATGATCAGAGCAGATGTTTGGTGTTCTGCCAATCAGATGCCTGCGCCTCGCCTAAAATAACAATTATATAACAAAACAAGCACCAGCACCCTGAACCGCCTACAAAAAAAATATGCTTTTAAAGGGGCACTATAACGTTTTTAATGTTTTAAAGACTCACATGTGAATGAGAGAAAACTATGGAAACTATGAGCAGAAAAAAAAATTACAAATATGATGCAGTCTCCATTAACAGAGCAGTTTTGTATTTCTAAGCTTCTTTCTCCGCCAGTGTTTCTGGTTGTCAGAGACCATGTGATCCTTGCCTAGGCCTTAGGTGACATAAGGTAGCTCAGGAGTTTTTTATTATATCTCTCCAAAACCGAGTTTCTTGTCTTCCCTCCAGCCCGGACCCCACCCCCCATTGACTTCTCCATCACATCCAATAACGCCAATATCAAACCCGCCCTGCAGGCCAGAGTACTTGGTGCCATTCTGGACTCCAACCTATCCTTCCAGCCCCAAGTCCAATCTTTAACAAACTCGTGCAGACTCCACCTCCGCAACATCGCCAAAATCCGCACGTTCCTAACCCCAGAAACCACTAAACAGCTCATCCACTCCCTCATCATATCACGACTCGACTACTGCAACTCCCTCCTCACTGGCCTGCCTCGCCGCTGGCTATCCCCGCTTCAGTCGATCCTGAATACGGCTGCCAGACTCATTCACCTTTCCAACCACTCCGTTTCTGCCACCCCCTCTGCCAATCCCTCCACTGGCTTCCGATTGCGCAACGGATCAAATTCAAAATCCTAACACTGACGTACAAAGCCGTCCACCACACTGCCCCGAACTACATCACCGACCTAATATCCAAGTACCACCCAACACGCACACTCCGCTCCTCACAAGACTAGTTCCCTGGTCTCCTCCTCCCATGCCCGCCTCCAGGACTTCTCCAGGGTGTCACCCATCCTCTGAAACTCCCTGCCCCAACCCATCAGATTATCACCTACTCTCCTCTCCTTTAGGCGCACCCTGAAAACCCATCTCTTCAGGGAAGCCTACCCCACCCCCTGCTAACTTGACCGACCTCCTCCACTCTTCCTACCACTCCATCCCCCACAGCTATCTCCTTCTGTGCCACCATCCCCTCCCTCCTAGATTGTAAGCTTGAAAGAGCAGGGCCCTCAATCCCCTCATGTTTTGCATATTGGTATTGTTCTGTCACATGTTCTGTCCCCCTTTGTAATGTACAGCGCTGAGCGAACTATTGGCGCTTTATAAATACTGTATAATAATAATAATAATTATATGAAAGAGGTGCTGTGATATGGTAGCGCCAACACGTGTCCTGTTGACTCGTGCAAATTGAGAATTATACTGCTATTACAGCACTGCATTGAGTTACAGACACATACAGCTTCCCTCAATTTATAAAAGGAATCACTAAGTAAGTGATCACTAGATTGTAAGGTACCCACAGAAACAAGATGCTATAGGAGAAAGGCGATCTCTTTGTAACTACCACGTGTATTTAAAAAATATTGTGGCAATTACTGTAACCCAACAATGTTCAGGTTTATGCTGTCTTGTGTTTTTGTAATGTACAGTTTACCATGCTGTCTAATTATGTTCATATGTCTTTTGTTTCTGTTCTCTTTTACATTGATTGTGGATTTCTTTCACTGCAACGTTCACACCTAAAGTGTTGCTGTAACCTTGTTCTGGAAAAATGGGCTTTGGCCTTTAATAAAAATTTTACAATAATAAAAAATACTGTGGTGTCTTTTGAACTGAATGTATGGCACATAAGGAGGTTAGTTTCACCCAATTAAAATTTTATGTAGTTTAGGGTAAATAAGTATACTATGCAATTGATTGTAATCTTAGTATGTTTTTTTCCAGTTCCTGCTAAGAAATATAGGGTCCACATAGTCTGTGTATGTCTCCAGCAGTCCCCCCCTCCAAAGATGGTTTTGGATACCCTTGCATAGTACTGCTTATAACTGATGTATATATTGTAAGTATGAATATGTACGTGTATATTTAGGTATAGAGTTATGAAAAATATTCTCTGTACATCAGGGGTGTCCAACCTTTTGACTAATCTGGGCCACATTGGAAGAAGAGGAATTGTCTTGGGCCACAAATAAAATACACTAACAATAAGGATAGCTGATGAGCAGAAAAAGTCTGACAGATCACATGTTACCCACATCACGGCCCAGCGGGACTTTCGTTCATATGACATCCTCCCAGAACAAACTTTATGATGCTCTTAGTTGAGTTAAAAAAAGAATGAAAAAAAGACAAAAATGTAAGAAAATAAATATTCCGTTTTTTTTCTCATACAGTCACCAATCACTATCTCTGATCACCGCCACAAGAGTTATGTAATCATGCTGTCAGGGGTGGACTGACAACTCATGGGGCCCCCCGGGCAATAGGGGATCATGGGGCCCCTGTGTCCTTGCCCAAACTCAAAAAAGCCTATGAAAAAGGTACCAGGGGCATCTCATGGAGCCCCCTACTGACCCCGGGCCCTCGGGCAGTGCCCGAGTTTCCAAATGGTCAGTCTGCCACTGGATGCTGTACTGCACTGGTGACAGTATGTAAAGAAAAAAATGATGACTTCAAAAACTCACCATGCCTCTTACTAAGTACATCGTACTGTCTACTTTCTCAAAAGGGGTCATTTGCAGGATATCTGTACTGTCCTGACATTTTTTGGCCTCAAGAAATGAGATAGGCTATCAGTACATCAGGTGGATCAATTTTCAGATATATACCATAGTTTGTGGACTTTATAACTTTTCTACAGACTAAACATTAAACACTGGCCATACCTTTACTGTGGGTCACATGAGTGCACTTAGTTCTGCACCCCTGTGACCCGTATTCAGCTGGCAGCTGTCCAAGTACATGTAAGCTGTTGGCTGATATCACTGAGCCGCTCCAGACTCTGGAGGGATCCTGATTTTAATGCTGAGATCAGGGGCGGACTGACAACTCATGGGGCCCCCGGGCAATAGGGATCATGGGGCCCCTGTGTCCTTGCCCAAACTCGAAAAAGCCTATGAAAAAGGTACCAGGGGCATCTCATGGGGCCCCCTACTGACCCCGGGCTCTCGAGCAGTGCCCAAGTTTCCAAATGGTCAGTCCGTCCCTGGCTGAGATCCACCCAGATGCCTTACCAGTAGGCGGCTTAGCCTCTCAGAACTCTCAGAACCAAGATCTTATAAAGCAATGCAAGATTGCTTACTTTTTGATATGACTCCCCTTTAATCAGGAAATACAAGGAAATACAAGTTTGGTATATTTTAATGGAGTGAATGCTGGAAAATAGACATACTATGCATGCCAGAAATTCTTGTTTTGTTTCGGATGCATTAATTGAAGAATTTTGTAGTTTAATCTTTTTTGTTATGTTGAAACAATTTTTGTTTTCAGAATTCATTTCATATCTTTGGCATTTGTTTCATATATTCGTTGGTCCAGTTCATTTGAAAATTTAGCAGTTTTTACAGAAGATTGCTATATATGCAATATATTATCGAATCAATTCAATTTTTCAGACTAGTCCAACCCACCAAGAGAAATGGCATGAGCTGATTGGAAAATATCAACTTTATATCGGATAAATTTGTTATGTGAATCGCGATTATCAAAATTAATTCAAAAATTGAATCCATTTCCCTATAAGCCCAAACTATTATTTCATCATGTGACATCCTGTGAATGAAACAAATACATTTCATTATTGTTTTTCAGATTTGTTGACATTTATTACTATGTCCATTTGGAGATTTGTCTACAAACCAAATCTCAGAAAAATAAATTTTCATCCGAAAAATGAATTGTAATGAAACAAAACGCACATGTCTACTGGAAAACATATACCCATTCTTCAAACAGAATCACATATAATATCTGTAAATTTTTGGCCTTTACATCACAACTGTTTTGCTAATGTAGAGTTAGGTATGGAGTTTTGTTAAACCCACAACATATCATTGGGAAAACCAAACACGACACTTACATGCACTTGGACAAAATCCCCACATCTTTTCCTTATCATAATCCGCTGTTGTAGAGCACCAGAGACCACCATCAGTTCTTCCATCCATGGTACAGTCTGCATACCACTTGGAGTCAAACTTGAATGGGAAGACACAGGGCTGACCATCAGCATTTCCTTTTAAAGTAAATATTTTCTGTGGACAAAAGGTATGACAGAGTTACTTATGAGGGAGAAGTTCAATGGATAAAAACATTTATCAAGGAATATTAACCACAAGCCTACAGGGCACTTATACCCCCTTCCTGCCCAGGCCAATTTCCATCTTTCAGTGCTGTTGCACTTTGAATGACAATTGCGCAGTCATGCAACACTGTACCCATATGAAATTTTTATAATTTTTTTGTGACAGATAGAGTTTTATTTTGGTGGTATTTAATCACCTCTGGGTTTTTTCTTTTTTCTTAAACAAACCAAAAAACCACTGATAATTTTTTTTTTTTAGTTTTTTGTTATAAAAAAGTTTGTAAATAAGTGATTTTTCTCCTTCACTGATGTGCGCTAATGAGGCTGCAGTGATGGGCACTGATAGGCTACACTGATGGACACTGATAGGTAGCACTGATGGGCACTGATGAGGAGGCACTGGTAGGTGGCACTGATGGGCATTGACAGGCATCACTGATGGGCACCGAAAGGCAGCACTGATATATGGCACTGATAGGCGGCACTGACTGGCACTGATAGGCCGCACTGACTGGCACTGACTGGCACTGTTAGGTGGCACTGACTGGCACTGATAGGCGGCACTGACTGGCACTGATAGGCGGCACTGATAGGTGGCACTGATTGGCAGCGCTGATAGGTGGCACTGATTGGCACTGATGGGTGACACTGAAAGGCAGCTCAGATGGGCACTGATATGTGGCATTGATGTGCACTAGTAGGCACTGAAATGTGGCACTGATGTGGCACTGATGGGCACTGGCACGTGGCACTGATGAGCACTGACAGCTGGCACTGATGGATACTGACAGGTGGCACTGCTGTGGCTACACTGATCATCAGGGCACACTGATCATCAGTGCTCTGATGATCAGTGTACATGTCCCCTCCGTGGAATGCCGATTACCGGCTCTCCTCTCCTCTTGAGCTGTCAGTGTGACAGCTCGAGAGGAGAGAAATGCAGATAACCAGCATTTCATTTCCCTGTTTACATGTGATCAGCTGTGATTGGACACAGCTGATCATATGACCGAGCCGACATCTTCAGCTCTTTCCGTGGATCGGTGAGCCAATCGCCGCGCTTCATGCTCCGGGAGCCGTGCATGTGCGGTTAGAATGGGAGGACGTCATATGACGTCCTCCCAGAACGAGAGAACCGCCTTGCATCCGTCAAATTACATATTACTGGCGGGCGGGAGGTGGTTAAAGAGTGATGTCTGAGGAAATACATATCAAGCAATTAGACCTTTGTTCAGTATGAGAGAATAATGGCAGCTTACAACCACTGGCCTAGTTGGCGGTAATCCAATTATATAACAATTTAAGCACTATCCAAGTAATACTCAAGACAATTTGAAAAGACAAGGCCACAGCTTTATTGGATTAAATCCTCATTTATTAACCAATGTCTTTAAATAAGAATTCCAGATAAGGATATTTTTACATAATTACTTTGGTCCAGGATGCAAGCTCAATTACTGACAGTTGTAGACAGCTGTGTGAAATTTAACATGACCTTACACCTGTAGAATTTCATTTGAACATCTAAATGAGAAATTATAAATAAACTTTGTCCAACCATTAAATGATTACTTCAAGGAGTCGACAAATTTTGAACAACTTCTCATTTGAGTACTATGTCACTATCTTGATTTTTAAAAAGCGCAAAAAGCGCAAATGTTCTACTTGCAGAGTAATTTTGATAAGTGCATGTGCATAAAACTAGTTATGATTTTTCTTGTCTGGGAGCAACTATTAGAACTGTGTTTAATTCCCATAATATTCAACCAAAATTCGCCATTCTTGTCCTTTGAATTTTTTCGCTCACTTTGGTCAAAACTGATTATCAGATTTCCCCCTTTAACTTCTAGATAATTGAGCAAACATTCTGAAAACAACATTTTTAAAACAACTATACTCTACAGGTGTAAAACTAGCTTTATAAACAGGCACGGATCAATGAATAACACATCTCTGGACATCAGGTTAACAATGTTCAATCTTTTCATTTTGTGCCTACACAGCCCGTTTAAAGAAATAATTTAGCTATAAGTCATTTGAGTGCCTTTTCATGCTGCTGTCTGGTTGCTTAAACCATGTTAAAGTTTTTCAGTGATGACCAGGAACCATTCTACAGAATAACAAAGAAACTAGAGCAAACTTCCTGTCTGAAATAAATCTGTCCAAATCACCATCAGCTGGAATAGATTCCTTAATGAATTTCAGGAAGCAGATGAAGGATTTACTGTGGCACTCTACTATCCTAAAAGTAAAATGGAGCTAAAATTGCAGAACAATCAATTCACAAAAAAAAAACAAAAACCTTTTGTTTCTGAACGAGCCAATATGATATACATACAGCATATAATTATCTACAGTTGTCTGAGGAATGTGTATCAATAACTTCTGTAGAAGCTGCTGGATTTTTAATGGGCTCTCTTGTCTTCCTATTACGTATAGACTTCTGATCCCAAATTCTTTTCTTGCGCTATTTTGGCTCACTTGCCATTTCCAGGTAACAGCCCTGTCATTTTAGGCACCTGAGTTTATCTTATAAATAAGTAAAGGGAACCAGTCCGCGGAGTAAGCGGATAGAGATTCCCTTTAAAATGGTTTGGCAAAAGAAACTGTGAACCATCCTCCTATTGGAAGCTTTACTTCAAGAAGATAGTTAAAATTAACCACTATAGGAGAGCCTAAGTAACCACCTGAGTGACCACCTGAGTCACCTTGAAAGAGGAAAATATTTGTTTTACTGGGAAATCAAATTTAAGACACGATGGAGTAGTTTCTGTTTAATACCAGAAGGAACGTTAATCTTTTCTGGAGTACAGCTAAAGTTTCCTGCAACAAAACCTCCCTGGACATTCTTATGTCTGTGGCCTGCAAAGGAGATAGAGAAAGCTGTATAGCACTGAAGTAGGCTCTGTCTATACAGTGAAGGATGGTGTGCCCGGAGTCTGCCCTAATTCTAGAGAAAGGTTCAGGTGAGTGTTGTGTTTTACACTTATAGGCTCTGCCTTGGTAACTTGGGACCCTGTAATATGTGTGGGGGGAAACTAGAAGCCTATGGACACTGTGGCTTGTCTTGATGAACAGAGCTCCCCTCTAGAGACTGTGGTGTCCATTTGTGAACCAGCGGTAATAGATCGCTGCTCAGTTCTCCGGCATTCTCGGAGAACACAGTTCTCCTGTGAATGCAGTTTATGAAGCAGTTCTCCGAACGAAGGGAGAACGGTCTCCAAACGCTGGAAAACGGTCTACAAACTCTGAAAAAACGGCTCATTTTACTATAAACTCTCGAGATTATAGTAAAAGATCAGTTTACTAAGCAGAGGTAAATTATCTCTGCTTAGTTTTCAGTCCCTCTGATTCTCCAGCTCTGGGCTGGAGAATCTGGAGGGAGAACACAGATCTCCAGAGAAGGGCTGACATGATCTCCTGAGTGTTATAAACTGTGAATGACCAGAGAATAGCTGAGATCCGTTGAATCGCAGCTATTCTCTGTGTCATAAAAGGACACCTGTGCCTGTATTAGTTCAGCGTCATAAGTTGAGGTCTCTGAGCACTTGTAACTCAGAAGAACCCTGAAATCACATTGACTTCCAGCCCTTACTCTATGGAAAAAAGTAGGACCCTGGCCTGTTACTTGGTTCAAGGATAACTAAAAATGGCAGCAATATTCTCTCCACTCTGTAAACCTCTCACAGAACTCTTTGGGACCATACAAGCTACTTACTACCAATATCTTTTGACCTCTGTCACAGGTCAACTGTAAAACTCTGTATGCCTCTGTCATGGGCAAATATAGATTTTGTAGGCCTAGACAAGTGGCTGTATTTCAGTTTATTTGATCTCTTGCACAGACCAGGTTAGCACTCTTCAGGTCTCTGCCACAGGCCAGTTTAGGACACGCTAATCCCAGAGAAGAAGCTGGAAGGACAATCACCCTT